TGACCCACAGGGGACAGGGCTGCTCTGACCCTGGCACGGCTTTGGTTGTACCATTGCATTGGTATTTTTAGTTTTCCTACTAAAGAACTGTTATTTCTATTCCCATATCTTTGCCTGAGAGCCCCTTAATTTCAGAATTACAATAATTCAGAGAGAGGGGGTTTGCATTTTCCATTTCAAGGGAGGCTCCTGCCCTCCTCAGCAGACACCTGGCTGTTCAAACCAAGACAGCACAATATAAATCCAGAACACCTTTAGCTGCCTGATCACTGAATTACCTCAGAAGAAGGAGGAAAGGAACTTCACTGCTGTTCCCAAAGAACAGGAAATTCCTCCAGCCTCAGACAGATTCCAGGCCCTGGAGAAAAATCTGGATGCTCCCAGCACTTCCTGATGCTCTGAATTCTTAGGATTCACTTCCTCCACCCAGGAAAGTGGAAAACCAATGTGTTCCTCCTGCGGAACCTGCGAGGGCAGGGAACTGCTCCCGTTTCTTGGGATCCCAGCCTGCTTCCAGGGCCTGGAGGAAAACCACAGCAGTGCCTGGTGCTCCCTGCCCGTTCATTAGCAGCAATTACGGGGTCTGAGTGTTACAAATTGCCTCTGAAAGATGTCAGCGAGCTCCCAGCCCTGGGCTTAATTGAAAACACTTTTTAATTTGATTACTAATGTCCCTGTGTTATGATATCCGTGCCCTGCAGGAGAAAACAGCTTCCTCAGAGGGAAAAGAGCTTCCCTCTGCCTTGGCAAGCTTCAGGCTTCCCGTGGCTTCAGCACCAACGAGAGTCAAGGGAAAAGTTCCGTTTTTCCATGCCCAAAGAACAATAAGTTATAAATTATTTTACCTGAAGACCTAAAGGAACTAGGGACAACTAGTTTAGGAACTTGAAGCCTCAAAGGAAATGGGACAATATTTTATAAATCATTTGGCCAGGAGATGTAAAGGAACTTGGGATTTTGGGGATGACATTTTATAAATCATTTGGTCTGAAAATCTAAAGGAACTTGGACATGGTGGAAAAAGTGAGAAGAAGGAGAGGGGCATGTGAAAGATCATGAAGTTATGGAATGGTTTGGATTGGAAAGTGCCTTTAAAGGTCATCTGGGCAGTGAGCAGGGACCTCCTCAAGGAGATCAGTTTGCTTCCAACGCCATCCAAAACGGCCTGGAATATTTCCAGGCATGTGGCACCAGCACCTCTCTGGAAAAATCTCCTTTAGGGATAAGGGAAGGGAAGGGAAGGGAAGGGAAGGGAAGGGAAGGGAAGGGAAGGGAAGGGAAGGGAAGGGAAGGGAAGGGAAGGGAGCTCCCTGTGTGTACCGAGATCATCTCAGCCTCCTGCACCCAGACCTCTCCCAGCCCATCCCTGTGGGATTTGGGATGTAACATACATATTATAATATTGGCTGTTCGCAAATACTAAAATGGATTTTTTACGTGTGGTATTAAATAGCTTTGTTATAAAGATAGTTTTCATTGCTGTTGTTAATTAAGCTCAGTGCAATAGCTGCTCTCAGTGTGCTTGTGTTAAAATGCCTGCTGGGCTGGGATAACACCCGATGGACACAGGATGAGCACACCTGGGCACATCTGCCCCCATCAGCACTCACCTCTGAAGGCAGTGTGGGCCCGGGCCAAACTGGGGGTGATAAAAAGGACAAAAAGCACAGCCCAGGAATGGGCACGCTCTGAAAGGTGGAACCGAGGAGGAGCCAGGCTAAACAACTCTTGGAGCATGTAAACTAGCTTGGGGAAAAGTTTACTATGCATAATTATTTATGAATTTGTAACAGGCTGATGCAATAGAAATGGTAAATAAAGGGTGTTTCCAAAATAGCACAGGGACTCTTGGCTGTAATCCTTGCTTTATTGTCTTTGTCTCCTACTGTCCTTTATTAAACTTTTAAACTTTTAAATTTTCTTTTACTTAGTTTAGTTTTAACTTAAAAACTTTAAAAACTTTTAAACTTTAAATTTTTCAAATTTTCACAGCACAGTGAACATATTTTTCACAGGGATATCAGAGCTGTGTTTGGCTGTGCAGCAGCCTTTGTTTCCCAGGTCAGCTGCACTGAGCTGAGGGATTTTCCTCTGCATCCGGATGCCCTGGGCAATCCATTAATGAAGCTAATTAGGACATCAGAACCTGGGGACTAATTGACTTCGGGGCTGGCTTTTGTTGTTTTAAGGGAAAGGGAGAAGGGAGGAAGAAGGATTGCTAATTAGTTTAGTTCTGCTTTATCTGAACCACAGCCTCGAATATTCCTCACAGAAACTATTCTGGGCCTGACAATGGATTTTGGTCCTGGAGCACTGGGAGGAAAAATTCCTTTTGTTTTGTTTTTTTTTATGGCCAATTCTGAAGCTGGGCTCCTTGAGGGGGATTTTCCTGGGTGAGGGGTGATCCAGAGTTTAGCTGGGATTGGGGTTTAAATGAGTAATAACCAGAGAAATCTGGAGATTGCTCCTTGATTGATGGAGGGGATGGATGGACAGAGAAACTCTGGGAAAAATGCAGAGCAAAACATGGATGTGATGGACTTCTCTCTGTAAAAAACCACAGGGAAGGAGATCTGCTGTGTCTGCACTCCTGAAACAAGGAACTCCAGGACTGAGGGAGGATCCAACCCCCCAGGTCCTCCTGGAGGTGCCGTGAAGGAACAATGTTTGGATCAGCCCTCCCCATCCCGAGGACGGGGATTGGAATCCCTGCCCCAGGAATGGCCCTGCCTGGCTCAGCCTCCCCAGAAAGGCCTGGAATTGTTTTCTTTCCCCAAAAAACAAGTTTAATGGAAGTTGTTGGGTTCAAAGTGGGCTGAGTGCTGAGGCAACGATCCAGCCAGGAATTTTTCCCATTTCCTGAAAAAAACAGGGAAATAACTTCAACTGCAGGATGGCAACAGTGAAACCCTCTAATGTGAGCACTTCCATGGTGCCATGGCAGGAACTAAAATCAAATCCATCTTCCAGATCCTGAGGCCATTACATTTTTACTTTTAAGGCATTTAAAGAATAAATAAATAAGCACATAAAGAAATTACCCATGAGAGCTTATTTCATGATGGGCAAAGGGATTATAGCTGGAAATAAAATAAAATTAATCAATAATTACCCTTATCAGATGGGGATGAATTCTGATCAGCTGATTGAAGGGAGGGGAAAATGGAAGAGGAGAAAAACAGAGTGAAGGGTAGGAAAAAAGCTGAGAGCCAGAACATGCAGAAACAACTTCTACTTTCCTGCAGGGGTTTTTTTGCTCCCTTTTTAAATATATTTGGAAAGTGATTCCACATGAGGCAAAGGATTCCTTGGGTGGCAGCAGGGGTGACTTGCCTCCCTTGGAGAGGGGTTCAGGAGGCACCTGCACATCTGAATTTGTTCTAATTTATAAAGAGAAGTGGCTCAGGGGCTCTCAAAGGTGCACTTGGAATAATCCCACAAATTATTGTAACAGGGTCTGCTCCTGTCGAGACAAATATGAAACATCTGCAACTTATGTGGAAAAATAGACAGGAGCTCATCCCAGAAAGTTCGGGAGCTGGAGGGGTTTCCCTGGATCTGGGATATTCAGGATTTGCCTTTGAGGATGAGGTTTGGCCATCAAGAGCTGCCTGCAGCCCTTGATTCAGGGCTCAACTCATCCCCACGTCTCCAGGAATGAAAGAAATTATTTTTATTGTAAAAGAGGCTCTGTTTGGAGAGAAGGGTCTGCCTTTCTCTCTGGACCCATTTCTTCCCTTTCACAGAGATACGAGGATGTGACATGAGGTGATTTCCTCCCACTAAGGAGCCTTTGGAGAGGTGCTGTTGTCAGGCAACCTCCTCAGCACTCACACAAAGGATGACGCTTGGCTTCCCAGATTTCCAGCAAAATTTTAATATTCCCCCAAAACCAAAACATATCTGCTCTGGTGACACTTCTGAACAGGCCAAGTCACCCCGAGAAGCTTTTCTCATGTAGTCACAAGTATAAATATTTTGATACAAAAAAATAAAACCCCGTAAGAAACCCATAAACGCCATGAAGCTCCCCCGGGCGCTCCGAGGCGCCGTGGGGATCCATGGCCAGGTACAGCTGCAGGGACAGGCAGCCCGAGGTGCTCCCAGCCCACATTCCCAGGGAATCCGGGAGCAGCAGTCGGCAGGGTCTGAGGTGTGGGGTGAGCCTCTGATCCCAGGGCAGCTCCAGCAGCATTCCCGGGGCGGGGCGTGGATTTGGAGCTGCAGCTGAGGGTGTGGGGACACAGCAGGGCACGTCTGGCTGGTGGCAGAGCCACAGAGGGTCCCTGAACTTTGCCAGGATCACCCGGGACAGAGCACATCTCCAGGCTGGTGGCACTCGGGGCCACAGGCCTGGCACAAGGGCAGGGTCACCCAGAGCAGGGGATGTCCCCTGGCTGGTGGCACCCAGGGCCCCTGAGTCACCCAGAGCAGCTCAGCCCAGCGCTGGGACACTGCCACCATTCCCTCTGGGAAAGCTGCTCCCGTTCTAGTCCCACAGCTCGGGATGAACCCGGCAGGAGAGCCTGGCCCAGCCTGCAGAGCACGCTCAGGATCAGGACTAAACCTCACCTAATTACTGACAACAGCCCGGAGCTCAGCTTTGGCCTTTGCACCCAGCAGCTGAGGGTGATTCTAAGTCACTCCGATTTTAAATTAAATTATCTCATGCATAGAAACAAAAGCTGCAGCAGAGGATTCACAGAACTCATAATCAAGTACTCAGTAACACAGTGTATATATATTAAGCTTTAAATAAAAAAATCTTTCAAGGTTTTTTTTGTTTTGGTTTTTTTTTTTTTGAATATATGCACTCTATAGGATGCAGGAAACTTGAGCCTGGTCTAACTGTCAGTCACACCCTGTGCTCTGCCCTTTATACAAAGTCTGCTCTACTGTAATAATTCTTCCTTTTAAACAAATGCAGGTAGCCTAGACCTTAATAAAATCTGCCCAGAGCCCTGGGGCTGAGCTGCTCTCCCTGAAAAATGGAGCAGTTCTGGTTCTGTTACTTTGGAAGGAGGTGAAAAACTGCTGGGGTGGGGTTTTAGATGATCTTGTTCTCCAGGGCCTCGATTCTTTTGGCCACAGCTTCCAGTGAGGAGGAGTTAAGGAGGAAAAATGGCATTTTTTTCTGGGAATGTTGGGAGAGAGACTTTTTGTGCGGGCACAGAGTGATGGGCCAAGGTTTTAACTAAAGGAGAAGAGATTAGGTGAGGAGGGGCTGGGCTGGAATTCCCAGAGCAGCTGTGGCTGCCCCTGGATCCCTGGCAGTGCCCAAGGCCAGGCTGGACACTGGGGCTGGAGCTCCTGGGACAGTGGGAGGGGTCCCTGCCATGGCAGGGTGGGATGGGAGGAATTTTAAAGCCCCTCCCACCCAAACCACTCAATAATTCCCCGATCCCAGGTAAGGAGGGAGCAGGGGGATCTGTGCCCATCCCCTCTGGCGCTCCCAGAGCTGCTGGGCTGCTGGAGCTCCCCGCAGGAAGGAGCTGTCTGTGCTCACACATCCTCCCACTGCCACGGGCTCACTCCCAGAGGAGGAGGGAAAGGAGGGGCTGACAGAGCCTCTGACCCTGAGGAGAGCAGCAAGAGCTTTTCTTGGCGTTCCAGAGGAATTTTCTGCTCTTCTCACTAACTGCTGTTGGTGGTGTGCCTGGGAGAGGTCGCCCACCGGGTGGGAGCTGTGACTTCCCGTCACCTCTGCACCACACAGGTCACGGATCTCACCCAGCTTGGCTCCGGGAGGAGGAACAGAAATGTGCCACAGCAGGGCCCAGAAATGTGTGAAGAAGTCAGAATGTGGCTTTTAAAATTAGATCCTCTCCTGATCCTCAGTGGTGAGACATCTCCCCTGCCCCTGTGAGCCACCCCGAGGCTCCATGAATTCCTTTTTTCAGAAGAAGTTTTAATCCTACTCACAATTTTTTGGTGGATTTTTATCTCTTTCTACCACTTAATGAAAGGCCCAGCAGAGCAGAACTCAGTCCCACCAGGTGGGTTCTGATGGGATCCAACTCACCTGGCTGGAGATGCTTCCAGGGAACAGTTCCATGAGGATTTATCTCCCAGTGCTGAGTTTCAGCCGGCTGGGAGAACCTGGGATGGGTGGATGTGTCCTTCTGGACTATCCACACCACCCACCTACAGTCTGAGGTGTTCTGATGTCCCTCTGTCCCTGCAGTCCATGACGGAGTTCGGGCAGTGGTGGATGTTCGCTCTGAAGGAGTTCCCTGCCTCCCATTCCAGCTGCCTCAGGACCTGCAGCCCCATCTCCCCACAGTCCCAGAATCCCAGAGCTTGGAGAAGCCCTCCAGGAACATCAAGTCCAACTTTTGACCAACCCCCACCTTGTCACCAGCCCAGAGTCCCCCAGGTGCCTCATTCCCACCTTCCTGAGCCCATCCCACCTCCTTCCCCCAGGAGCAGACCTTCCCCATGGTCCCTCTGGACCCAAACTTCCCAAACTTCCAAAGGATATGTTTCTGCTGCAAGGAATTGATGAGGTCTTCTACTTTGGTCTGGAACTTCACGATGGATTTGCACTCACATGGATCTTCCTCTGTGGGTCACAACAGCAAGAGGATGAGTGGCACCAAAAATTGACTTAATCAAAATCCTTGAGCCCAGTGAAACAGAACAATTCTTATTTTCTATGTCAGAAATAGGAAGGAAATCAAATATAATTATTTCTAATTATCTGATTGATCTCTTCTGGCTTTAACCTCAGATGAACAGAGAATGTCACATTTTTCTGTTATTTCAGCCATAAGAAGTCTTTCCTGGGTTCCCATCTCTCTGGAAACCCACTAAGCTCTGCTCCTGGTGCTTCAAGTTTGCCCTAAAATTAGAGTCTGACCAAATAAAACCAACCTCTGTCTCCCCAACAAGATCCAATAAAAATTGGAGACACTGCTGCTATCAAGACTGGTTTGAGCTTTGCTTCAGTAGCTCCAGTCCTTGAGGGGACTCCAGTCCATGAGCGTTAATCACTTTGCTAATTTATGTCACTAATTTACATCTGTTCTTCAAGGAAAATTAACTTAGACTGGAACAGGAGGAAAAAGATGGCTGGGAAGGAAAGGGAGGGGTTACAAGGCCACTCTGAGCTGAGCAAAAGAAGGAGTCAATAAAAGACAGAATTTTTAAAGGACATTAATCACTTGCACCAAAACACAACAGGTTTAAACCAGCCAGGTGTAACCTAAAGCTGGAGATTAACAGAAGATTTCAAGGCAGCTGTTGAGAAATACAAGCTGGCACTGGGAATGAAAAAAAAAAAAAAAAAAGCAAATATCTCCTTGCCTTCCTTTTATTTTTAATAATCAAATGTAAACATATTTACCCAAATTGATATTTTAAAAAGACAGTTTTTATTACTTTTTTTTTTTTTTTTGGAAGGCTGAAGCTTAAATGTATTTGAATGACTTTAAAGTACAATTTGTTGGGGGTTTCATATAGATCCCATCCTCTTGTTTTTGGATTGATCCTAATTTTTTAATGAGACTTGTCAAAGAGTCTCTGCCTTGCAATCCTTGCTCTGCAGACACGGGTATTATCCCTCTCCAGCTTCTCCAGGAGAAAGGAAATCCCATCTTTAGAAACCTGGAGACAAATTCATCCTTTCTGGAGAAAAAGAAGGGCAGAAAGGCGGAGGGAAAAGGAAGGAGAAGGGGATTTGGGAGGTTGAGGTGTGGGGGTTGCTTCATCTCAGGTAACCACCCAAAATATTGATGTCTCCTGATGCTCCCGTGCATTCTGTCAGCTCCACACACTGAGAACTGGGAGATTTTTATCACAGTCACCTAAAAGGGCATTTTCATCTTTCTACTCCAGACTGCAAATGCTGTCACTGTGTGTGAGTCCAGGGCATCCCTCTGGCTGCCCTGGGACCCTGGCAGGGGTCAAGAACCCCCTGGACAGAGCCCCCAGAGACACTGGCTGTGATCTCTGTCCATGGAAAAGAGTTTTCAATCTTACAGGATCAATTACAAGCTCTGAGTGTTTGATAGAAGTAATAATTAAGTGTGGCATGGGTGCAAAAGTAAAATTTTAGGATTCTAGATGAGGGGTCCAAAGGACACAAGATGGAGGAAATTGGGTGTGCCTTGTCCTTTTTCTCCTTCTTCATGCCCTCCATGTCTCACTGTGGTGTTGGCATTTTTCTGTTGGTTCAGGCTGGGGACACACTGTCC